CGGGGGATGCCGGGAGCTGTAGGCGCGGGGGACGTCGGGAGCCGCGGCCTGGCCCGCCCGCCGATAAAACCGGATCCCCTGGGCCGAAACGAGGAAGGTTCACCCGCGGCTGCGCCCCGGGAGGATTTCATCCTCCTCTCCGAGACGAGGAACATTTAAAACTCCCGTAAAAACGGCGGCGAAACATTTCAGCTGCCGGGAAGCCCCGGGCATGCCGCGGCCCCTCCGAGGGGGAGCTGCCCTCCCCTGCCTCGGCAACGCCACCGGCCGCTCCCGCAGGAACTCAGATGTCGGGCTCTTTCTCCGCCAAAAGCCCCGAGGTGCGGCTTTAGGAGGACTATGCTGCGATGTTTTATAAACATTAAAAGGTAACCGACAGGTTTAGTTTTGTGGGGTTTTTCTTTTTTTATGTGTTTTATATTCTGTAAGAAACATGGAGCTTTTCTGGCTGTCAAGTTCATTAAAAGGGCGCTAATGCCACGACAGGTGCCACTTGGCCTCCCTGTAGCTCTCCCTGCGGTAGTCGTAGTCGTGGCTCCAGCCGTCCCGGTGCCTGTCCTCATAGCTGGGCTCCTCCCGGCCCGCCCTGTAGTGATGCTCGGCGCTGGCATCGCTGTACTCCTCCCTCTTGGCGCGGCCGTGGTCGTGGCCCCGCTCCCCGAAGCGCGGCTCGCGGCCAAAGTGCCTGCTGTCGGGGTGGTAGGGGTGGGCGCTCAGCCGGCCCTTGCGCAGCGCTGGGGTCTCGGGGCGCCGCAGCCCCGGGGGAGCTGGTGAGGGGTGGAAGGTGTGAGGAGCGTGCTGGTAGCCGGGTGGGGTGAAGCCGGGCGGCTCGTGCTTCCCTGCGAAGTGAGGCTGCTGCTGCCACCCGGCGCTGCTCATCTGCAAAGAGAAGAGGAGAAGGGCCAGTGGGCGCAGGGCACTCCAAGAGCAGGTCCCCGCAGCCTCTCGGGACCGTTACAGGAGACGGGGACTCCGAGCGAGAGGCAGCTCTGAGGCGCGTCGTCCACCAGCCGCGGGCGGCTGTGGGGTCGAACAGGCTCACAGCGTACCACCGCTTGTCTCTGAAGGTTCTCGGCTGACGGCAGAGACCGCTGCACCGGTGAGAACCCTGCTGCTACCGTCCCTTCAGCGCTCCTGTCGTATCTGCAGGAAGAAGCAATTAGGAATTTTAGCCTTAAACTCGAGACTATTGCTACCCGAGGAGCGTTTGCGGCCTCGTCGCGTTTCTCCCGTTACAAAGGAAACAACCGGCCAAGCTCCCGCTACCGCGGTCAGAAACTTGGTGCGGACGCGCCGGCATCGCACGTTTGGCAGTGCTCTCCCCGCTTCTCCTCAGCGGATCTTTTCTGCCCTTGCATGGAAACACAACCCTTCTCTTTTACCATTAGGGTTTCAGGCACCAGGAAGGGTACCGAGGGCACTAGGAGTTCAAGTGCTTGCTCCGCAGGGAAGAAAAACCAAAGCGAAAAGAGGCAGGGACACAGCAAACTGTGCAAATGCCACTTCCTACTGCGACCCGCGCGTGTCCCCGCGGCACAGGCTGCCGGGGCTCGTACCTGCTGCAGCTCGAGGCCGGATGCGGTGTGCCAGACGGGCTAGTGTTGGCAGCTCCGTGTGGGGAACAAGAAGGATTCCCGTCCTGAGAGGCGTGACTGCTCCCTGAAGGGAAACAAAACATTTCACAAGACCAACAAACACGAGTTAGGGGACCTTGGGTACGAAGTGAACTTGAGCTGCCATGTGCTTAACAAGCTGTCGAGTTTAGTCAGTGACCTGCAGAAACGCCCAGTCCCGTCTCCAAAAGGAGACGCCGCAACAAGCGGGAATGATGCAATTGGGTGGCGATATTCTGACCGACCGACACCAGGCACAGCTTTTACTGCTCACCTGATGGTGTACAACAGCTTTCAAGGGTACAAATGAATAATCCAGAAAGAAAAACCCAAGGGAGGACTTGGCTCAGGGATTAACGTGGCCGTAACTGAGCGAAATGTCCCCTGCTGAAGCACAGGGACAAGAGCATCAACACCATCCTTCCCTGAAATCATCACCTCCTGGGGAAGCGAGCGTTTGGTGAGAACCACGTGTGATTAACCCAATTAAAGACAAATCTGTCACGTGCTGACAGCAGTTTTGCTTTCTCTCTAGTAACCGGGTTATTTGACGTTTCTTTGAGCAGGTACCTGATCGGAACTGAATTTTGATGGGCCTTCCGTACAGCTTGATCCCGTTGAGCAGGCTCAACCCGTAAGGGACAGACTCTTCATGTTTGAAGTTCACAAACGCGAACTGCTTGGGTCTGCCGTCTCTGTCCTTGGGGATTTTAACCTTAATTACCGGCCCGGCCTGCGCACCGAGAAATAAAAAGGCGGTAAATCAAAACGGCCCCGCTTGGGGCGACAGTGGCCCCGCGGAAGTTTTTCCCTCGGCGGCCGCCGTACCCCAGCTCGAGCCCGCCCCAAAATGGCGGTGGCCGTACCCTCGTTCGAGCCCGCCCCAAAATGGCGGTGGCCGTACCCTCGTTCGAGCCCGCCCCAAAATGGCGGTGGCCGTACCCTCGTTCGAGCCCGCCCCAAAATGGCGGTGGCCGTACCCTCGTTCGAGCCCGCCCCAAAATGGCGGTGGCCGTACCCTCGTTCGAGCCCGCCCCAAAATGGCGGTGGCCGTACCCTCGTTCGAGCCCGCCCCAAAATGGCGGTGGCCGTACCCTCGTTCGAGCCCGCCCCAAAATGGCGGTGGCCGTACCCTCGTTCGAGCCCGCCCCAAAATGGCGGTGGCCGTACCCTCGTTCGAGCCCGCCCCAAAATGGCGGTGGCCGTACCCTCGTTCGAGCCCGCCCCAAAATGGCGGTGGCCGTACC